GGGGGGGGTCTGTCCTGCCAGTTCCCAGAACATTTGGGAAGTGGATACAGAGTTCAGAGAGAAAGTGCCTTATCCCAGGTCACAGAGCCATGGGCCGGCGGTAGGACCCCAGAGCCCCTACTGACTGGCCTGCTCACCATATTAAGCACACAGCGTGGACGTGCCTGGAGAGCTGGGTCCCAGGCCTCTGGGCCCAGGAACGCTGAGCCTTTGAGTGTGGCTCTCCTGCCTGTGGGCCGGACGGCAACCAAGCCTGTGTAGACATCCGCTCCGGCAGTCGTGAGCATCTTGGACCTGCCCCAGGCCTCTGGCACCAGGACACTGGGAGTTTTGGAGCCCTTCCAGGTTTGGCTGAGTGCATCCACAGACCTCAAAGGGCCTAATTTCACCATCCTTGCCAGCTGACCAGAGGCACTTTCCCTTGCTTTTCTCCTTTGCTGTTGGTCCAGATAAAACCGACAACAAGCAAGTCAGGAGAAGGCTCGAAATCTGTGGCTGGATCTTCCCTTCTCTGCCTTGCCTGATGGTCAGGGTGTTCCTAAAGAGTCTCTGGATAGCGAGGGAAGCTGGGCAAGTGCCCTGGTGAACTGTCCCTTAGCTCTTTGATTCTGAGACTATCACCCCCCATTGCAACTTTGATCACAGGAATCCAGGACTTCCAATCCTGCTCCCTGTCTCTTGCTTCTTCCCCCATGCCCCGTGCCAACCAGGAGTTTGTCTGTCTACTTCCCAGGCCTTCTGGCAGAGGCAGGAGTGCAGCTGCTGTCTTACCAGACCTCGATGGTGTCAAATGGGGAGACCTGGCACGTCATGGGCCTCTCCTCTCTGCTGCCCAGCCTGGATGCGTGGAAGCAACATGTGACTGAGGCTTTCCAGTTCCAGTTCTGAGCCCTGGGGGCTTTTCTGAAGAAAACCTGCCCACCGTGACCAACAGAGAGAGGAGATCCACATCTCGGGCCGACACTGCTTACTCTGCAGACCTCAGCTGACCTCTGTAGAGCAGTGAGAACCACCCAATAAAAAGCCTACCCCAGATCGCCAATGCGCTGCTGTTATTACCCTGAAGAGCCACCAGAGGGCACCCGCAGGCAGCCGTGGGCAAGGTTCGGCTGCAGGAGGGTAGTGGGTGTGGCGGGAGATTGGGGTAAGCAAAGTGCATGCCTGGGTGTGTGCTCAGAAGAGGGATCCCTCTCTTGTCTGTCTCTCAGGTTATTCAAGCGCATTTTTTGCAGGTAGAAAACTCGGTATTTCAGAATCCTGTGGTATTTCAGATCCCTTCCATCTGGGAGTATACGTGCACGTGAAAAAACAGAATTCCTCAAACGGGCACGTTACGCACGCAGGCTAGGTGATTTGCCTAGGAGAAAGCTTAAAACCCAGACCGTTCCCAAAGAAGTCACCGTTCAGTGGGAGGGACAGCACACAGAGGCCACTGGGTGTGCTGAGGTGTGTATGAATTCATGTTGAGTCCAGAAGAGGCATGATTTGAGCTGAGGGTGATATCCCTGAGGTGTTCGGAAGGTTTCATAAGGGGAAGAAAGTAAGTTAAGGTATGAGGCATGAGAATACTTGCGATTTCACAAAGCCAGCTCAGAACGGGTTGGACAGTGTATTACTTGACTTTAAAAAAGAAAAAAAAAAAAGATGGTTTTCACGAAACATGACATAATGGCACTCTCTGACCCTAAAGGCTTTACCTTTTGATGGTTCCTCCCCTTTAGGAGGAGATGACCTATACCTACCTTGGGCCCAATAGCATCTGTTTTTGAGGCTCCCATCTGGACTGAGAAGGCCTGGCCCAGGGCTGCTGGTGGGCATTCACGGGAGCGACCCCCCACTATGACCTCTTGAGTGCTGTGATTGAGTGAAAGGCCCAGGGGAACCACCGGGGATGGTGGCTGTGCTGTGTCTGCAGTGCTCTGAGAAAAGGGTGGGCCTTCAAGGAATGTCTAATTCTCCTAAACCTTTGTTTTCTCATTAGGAGGAGGGATGGGTGCCTCAGAACCCCAGTGAGGATTAAAGCAATTAACATGGGGTTTCTGGGAAGTACACTTGGTAAATATGAGTTTCTTCATCCCTTTCTTTGAGAGTAGACGGCAGGTCTCCCTCAGTCTCTTTCACGGAATCCCATGCATCAACAAGGCCTTCCCTTGAGGCCACCGATCCTAGAAAAACAGGCTGAAACTGATCAAGTTCCAAAGTGCGTTGAAATTCGAACTCAACATTCAGTCTCGGTGTTTTTCTTCGAAACTCTCTGGACACACCGTACTTGGTGCTCAAAGGTGGTCAGAACAACTTCTGGGAACTCTAACTACTGGAGCATCTCTAAGTGGCTTTCTAGCCTTGGTGGCATGAAAAGGCATGGGACAATTTCCTTGCATCGTCTTGTCCCACGACCATCCACGTAACTTCCAGATCCATAAAAGCAAGACTTGCAAACCCAGCTGGCGCCACACAGAGGATGCTGTTTATTCCTCGGTGTCCCTCTGTGGTTTGTGGCATCTCTGTACACCTCACTTTGGAGAGCAATGGCATTCTTGTGTATCTTGCCCTGGAAGGAGAGGCGTGCCTTCAGCTCTCTCATGGAAGCAGTGGGCCGGCCAGTCTTCACGTCTGTGTTGATGCGTCATGTGATGCATTCCTGCTCGAGGCACCTGTAATGTGGCTTGGTGCCCTTACCTAGTGATCCTTTCATCCTCTTTCCTGCTCCAGGTCACCCAGGGCAATTTGTTTTTTTTTCCTACACAGGGAAATTCTTTACCCGCCAGCCCTCTGTGGACAAATAAACCAATGATAGTAGCAGACTTTAGGGTGAACGTGGGACAGGGCAACTGAAAATCCTTCCCTCCTGTGTTGACCTTCCATTGGTGGGGAGGGCTCTTTTCACAGCCAGCAGGTGTCAGTTTCAAGGAAGCGCTCCCAGAGCCATGAGAGGAAGGCCCAGTGCTCTCAGTGAAGGAGGGGACTTGCATGGGGCCAGGAACCTCTGTGCAGTAGATGCAATGACCAATGACACCCTGGGTGCCCTGGGTTGAACCAGGGCTGATAACCGGCTGGTGTGCCAAGGGCACAGGCAGCATCTATTCAACGGGTCGGCATCCTGATATCCTCATTGTTAAATCTTTTTATGATCACGCCCACATTGTGTTCACATGACTCCTGAGTGGAGGCAGGCACCAGCATCGGGTGATATGGAAGGTTCTGGTTGCTCAGGCCAGCAGAGGCAGTTTCAGCACCAAGACCCCACAGTGAGCTCCGTTTGGATAGAAGGCAAGGAAGGCCCAGAAACTCTGATCTCAAGAAATCCGGTGAGTAGGGTTTTTTCCCCACACCTACAGATGCCACTCCAGAGACCTTAGGAAAGGCTTATGTTGTCCTGCCAGGATTGCCAACTAGACTAAGGGCCCCCAAACAGCTTGCCGAGGGGGAGCAGGCAGCAGGGTTCAGCAAAGAGGGGCTGCTGAGCCATAGCCCCAGCTGGTGTAACCGGTGGAGTTCAGCACGCGCCCGGAGAGGGCTGGGAAGTCAGCTGATGCTGTGTTAGCTGCTCGAATCGGGGTTTATCTCAGATTTTCTGGTGCCTCTTGTGACACGAACGGCCTTGGGCACACAGTGAAGTGGGCTGGCTCAGCATCTCATTCCCACAGGCCCCATGCCCTGCTATCCTTAGCGCCTCCCCTGCCAGCCGGGCCCGCTCCCCAACAACGGAAACCATCTTTTCTGCCTCATAGCACCCCTTTCTCACTGGAACAGCTGAGGAAGCTTTCTAAAAGGCCCCTTGTCCTCCGTCCCCCTCTCGCACCTCTCCTAGCTCAGTCCCACCTCCCTGAACCACTTCTATCTTATGAGGACCCTAGAAAAAGCAGTGCCCTAACCCAAGGGGGTACAAACCATCTTGTGGTGGAAAAATTCCCTGGTAGCTACCAAAATTCTTTTTTTTTTTTTTTTTTTTTTTTTTGGCTGGAGGAGTAAAAAGCATGCTGTATTAACCTCTGCCCTGTGTTTATTGCCCCAGATAACACTGGCAAGGCCTGAACAAGGAGCTTTGGTTGCCCTTGAAGTCATTTCTAGCCTGTTCTGCGTGGTGGCATCATTCGATCAGGGAAGGAAGCTGGGCGCAGAAGCTATTTCCCCTAAGCCTCTCAGAGAGTGGAACTGGACGGAGAGAGGGAGGGTGTGAGGTGTGTGCTTAGCGGTTTTACAGCTGGAGGGGGGAGCGGTGTGGTGAGGAGACTGGGGGCCGCGGAGCCCAAAGGTCCAGCAGGCTTCTGTGCATGTTGGCTGGTGCGGGTTTTGTGCTGGTTTCCGAGAACTATAAGCGAGTCCCTCCCTCTAACTTTTGCATTGTGTTATATGGGCTTATATAGGGGCACCTGGGGGGCTCAGTCGGTTGAGCATCCAACTTAAGCTCCGGTCATGATCTTGCGGTTCATGGGTTTGCGCCCCACGTCAGGCTCTGTGCTGACAGCTCAGGGCCTGGAGTCTGCTTCGAATTCTGTGTCTCCTTCTCTCTCTGCCCCTCTCCTACTCACACTCTGTCTCTCAAAGATAAATAAATGTAAAAAAATAGAATAAAAAAGTTCCCGGTATAAAATTTAGAAATTGACAGAAAAACTTAAGAAAGGAGTGAAGCTATAATAGCACAGAAATTTAATAATGATACAAACAGCCACAAAGCTGTGATGAGCAAAGTTATCTGGATGTTTTCACAGTTCTGGAGGGCAGCGATTGTGAGCTAGGCCTTCTTTCCAACCCCTCCTCCCCAGAAGACCGCTGCAGTACCATAAGCCCTTGACAGTGATTGTGGCAGAGAAAGGCATAAAGAGCGCTAAGGATGGCCCCTCACCCTCCGGGGGCAGTGCTTCTGGGGGCTACTGTGTCCGATCCAATCCATTTCCATCTAAGAGTGGGCTTTTAAAAATATGATCCATGGGCAGAAATTCTGCTGGTGTCGATTTCTCAGGAACCACTCCATGGATCTGTAGAATTTAAAGAAAGAAAAGAACCACATCAATGAGACTCTCATCCTGGGCATCCCCCCCTTGCTCCTGGTACCTGTTTCTTGTCTGAGGTGAGGCTATGCACAGGGGCTCTCCTACCTGGTCCTGAGGTCTGGGGAGCTCCGCTGCCCACCCAGACCCGAGCCTAGGTGCCTGAGCTTCCCCTGTGCCCCGTGCCACGGGAGCCAAGGGACACATTCTGCCTGATGCAAGAGCGGGCTGGTTGGGGTGCCTGGGTGGTTCAGCTGTGCTGACAGCTCAGAGCCTGGACCCTGCTTCGGATTCTGGGTCTCCCTCTCTTTCTGCCCCTCTCCCACTTGCACTCTGTCTCTGTCTCTCTCTCAAAAATAAATAAACGTTAAAAAAAATAATAATAAAAAAAGAGCAGGCTGGCAAGGCTGGATGGTGACGAGACGGAGCTCCCCAGAGCACCACACTGACATAAAATCTAACTCAGCTAAGATTTCATTGTGGTAGGTTCCTCGCTTGTACGAGTTATCAGCATGAGAGAGACGATGACAGGAGCCCCAGCTTTCCTCTTCAGAGGCATCATGTTTATGGATTGTGATGGGAAGGGAGCCTAATTCAGAAACTCTCCTTTGAAAGTCCCAAATTTTTCTGTCTCTCTCTTTTTTTTTTTTTTAATTAATTAATTTATTTTTTTGAGAGAGAACAAGAGTGAGTGGGGGAGAGGCAGAGAGAGAGGGAGATAGAGAGAATCCCAAGCGGGCTCCACACCATCAATGCAGAGCCTGATGCGGGGCTCGAACTCATGAACTGTGAGATTGTGACCCGAGCCGAGGTCACACGCTTAGCCGACTGGGCCCCCCAGGCGCCCCCCTCTCTCTCCTTCTGATGCCTGAACTAGCTTGACACATGCAGCTGTCTCCTCTTTGCCATTGACTAGCCCGTAAGAATCAGACTGCAAACAAGCAAGCCAGCAACCAGTGACCCCAAGGCAGTGCCAAAGTCTGTGACCCTGCTCGCTGAGCTCGTGGGTCCACCACACCCTGCTGGCCTGTCCTGGCAGGCCCCTTGTCCACCTCGCCTGGCACTTCACATCCCCACAGGGGAGGCCAGGCTGTGTGAACCGAGGACATCTGCATCCTGTGGTTTTGCTGCTTTATCCGCATATCTCCTTTCCCCGCGGGCTTCCTCTTCTTCCCTTGCTCCACACCTTGTCCTTCGCAAACATTTTTACCCTTCTTCCTTCATCTACCAAAGGAGGGAAACTATACACGTGCACACACAGGAAGTGTTTGGGGATTGCATTTATTGAGATTTATGGGTCGTTGCAGAAATTGCTTCTCTCTCTTCCATTCTCCATTTTACCAACTTGCAAGATAAACCGAAGGCAGATGTCTGAGTCCATGAACTACAAGATTCTAAATCGGAATTCTTGATTTTCCTTTTAAAAACACCCAAAGAAGTCTCCCATGCCCCCTTCTCAGGCAGTCCTCTGGCAGGAACCCTTCTGTCCTCCCCACCCCCATCCCCTGCTGAGTTTCCACACCTCACCCCTTCCTCCCCAGGAAGGACTACATGGTGAGGCTCCCGTCCACCCAAGCTTCTGGCTCCAGCAGAATCCCCAGCACCCTGTTTCTTCATGGATCTGCCCCCAACACACCAGTGAGTACCTTTCCTGAAGCCACTCATCTTTGTTGCTGGTCTGTCCCCGCTGGAAGAACAAGTCCCACAGGCTCAGGCTCACAGCCTGCTTCCCCTCATAGATGCTAACTTGGTTTCTGCCAAGCTTCTAGGAGACCTTCCCCTGGTGAGCAGATTGGGTAAACCAGTTGCCCCCCCCCCTCTTTTTTTTTGACATTCCCAAGTTTCAAGCATGGCCCTTCCCCAGCTCTAGTCTTTCCAAGGCAAAGAGCCCCAACAGTTTGATGTGGTCCTCGTGGTACAAACTCCCCACCTCTGATCACCTTGGAGCTATGGATCCAGTCTGGCCTGGTGACACTATCGGAACTGCATCTGAAGAGGAAAAGCTCTGTGCCACCAGCCCTGCAGAATCACTCACCACCTTTAGACCGGTCGCCGGGCGTACTTGCGACGATGTAGCTCATCCACTTGCTCCAGGTACCAGGTGCCTGGGAACAGACTGCTTATGTCACCAGGTGGTGAGAAATTCACTGTGGAGGGAGCAGAAGCAATGCTTAGGGAAGGCTGCATGGGGGTGGGGAAGAGACAATAGTCTGGGGATGCCTTCACGGTGAAGCTGTCCTGGCTGTGCTGCAAGGGGCTGTGAGGCCACCTGTTACCTCCCCACCAACAGAGCCCCGGACCAGCCCAAGAACCAGAAGCAGCCATCTTGAATCTAGTATTTGGCTTGCCTATTAGAACTTTTCCTCAAGGAGTATGACCTTTCCCTACAGTAAGCTCACCCTTCCTCTATTGAAGTCCTCATCAGGTCCTTTTGTCAATGCTATCTGGCTTGAGGTATGTGTGCCTTTGAGCTTCCTGGCTTCTAACAGACACTTCCTTCCTAGCCCTAAATTCTCTGGATCTGATGCATTGTAGTATTTCTGTTCTTTGTCCGTCAGCATTCATCTTGGGTCCTGTTTTTATTTTGTTTTTCTTCTTTATTCTAACATGTCCCCTGTTGCAGACACACAGACTACTAGGTCTAAAGTTTTCCAGAACGTTCCCATTTCTGTGAATTCTGTGTCCTTTTCATATCACACTGCAAGCCATGTGTCCCAAGTCTCTGAGAAAATATGTTTCGTTCTGGTACTGTTTTTAAAACCACCGCCTGAGTGGCTAGTCGGTTAAGCATCCGACTTCGGCTCAGGTCATGATCTCATGGCTCATGAGTTCAAGCCCATATTGGGCTCTGGGCTGACAGCTCAGAGCCTGGAGCCTGCCTGGGTCTCCCTCACTCGCTGCCCCTCCCCTGTTCGTGCTCTGACTCTCTCTCTCTCAAAAATAAATAAACATTAAAAAAATTTTTTTTAAACCACCATCTGGTCTTTCCAGTTGTAACCTTAGCTTTTGTCTTTTTTTCCTTTGTTGCTTTTTTTTGGGGTGGGCAATACTTTTTTTTAATGTTTCTTAGGGAAAGGGGGCAGGTAGGCAGAGATAGTAATATCTGTTGATAGCTTATTTATATACATTAATTCATTTAATCAATTGGCAATCTTGCAAAGCTGGTAATGACTTTAGAATGAGACAACTGAGTAAGATTTCAATAGTTTCCCCAAAGATAAAGAGCTGATGTTTGTCACAGGTCAGTTTAGATTGGAATATCCAGCTCCAAAGTCTGGGTTCTTCCACCTGTTACACAGATAGCAGTTTTCAAGACCACGCATCTAGTATCCTTGGGACTACACTGTCCCGTATCCTGTTTTGAGTGGGTAGCTACAGTCTATCCTGGGAAGTTACATGCTGCCTCCCCCCTCTTCTCTACTCTGCCAAATGCTTCCCCACTCAATTCTTGCACCCTTAGACATAACAGATTTTCTCCCCATCATATCATAGGCATATTTGCGCTGGCCTGCTGTAGTCCAGACTTCCGATGAATCCCCAGCTCTCTGCCCCTGGCATGGAATCTGAGAACAAAAATCTGTCTCTTTCTCTTCCTGCCCTTTTTCTTACCCTTATGGTAGAATTGTTCTCTTTGGTCCATTATTTCTGTGAACTCCTCGGGAGACATACGCTTCCGGGAGGCGAGGCGTTTTGGCAGGTCTGAGACACTGGACACCAGCTTCTCCAGGGGGGATCCTGGGAGACAACGGCCAGACTGTTAAATCTACTTCACGGTCATTATCACTGCTGCTGACCATGAGTCAGATAGACAGCGAGGTTCTGTGAAAGTTCAGACCCTGAAGGAAAGTGCTGTGTGTGGCTTAGCATGTCAAGAAATGATAAAGGTCAGCAAACATAATGTTAGCAAAACATACAAGCAAACACACTCATCCAGTCAAGGCATGTCCCACATAGTGCTTACGTGTGCACCCCTGATCACATCTGACGTAAAATAATCAGCAAATATTTATTGGATATCTCAAACCCACCAACTTCCCTTTAACCGGTTGTGACAAATGACCATTGATTACTTCTTGCCTCGTCCATTTGCTGGAACGACCTGACTTGTTCCCCTGTTTTCGCCTTTGTTTCTCTTCAGTCTAGTCCAAGTAGGAGCCAGGCAAATGCTTCAACTACATTAGTTAGACAAACTTACTCCATTGCTTAAATCCCTTCAGGGAGTTCCTTGGCTTTTAATCACAACATCGTTCTCTCAAGACAGGAGCCTCAGTAGTGATGAGGCAGAGCGTGGTTTCTTTTACCAGATGAATCTTACCAGAAGTGCCTGATAGAACTCACCTGGAGAAGCATCCTGGGACACTCGAAATGAAAAAAAACTCGCTGCCAAGCCAGAGCCGTAAGAGAAGGCCCCAATCCTGGAGCCAGCCAAGTCTTGGGCAGAGTGCCTGCAGGGAAAGAAAACCCCAGAAATGTATTGGCATTATACTGTGCACTTCAAACAAGCCACCAACCTATCGGCCCAATCTAGTCAACCTCTTGCAAGTAGAAATGGGCTCCAGGCTCTCTACGCAAATAGGGACCTTTGGAAGACCCTGGGGATAGGCCCAGAGAGAAGAAAATCTGCCGGGAGGAGAGCAACTAAAATCCAAGCTACCGAAGGCACAATAAGCATAACGGAATTTGGGGGTATGAAAGGGGCTCCTTCTCACCTATGAGGACAAGATGAATTCAGTGAACTTGGAAGTTTGGAGGTCAGACCAATTCAGGGCTTCCATGTTTGCTGGTAATGTTTCACCACGTGTAACTTTTTTATCATCCCCTCATCAGTAATAATTTGATCGAGTTCATATATATATACACACATTTATATATATCCTATGTTATATGCAGGTACTATAGTACAGGTATCGCCTTATAAAACCCACAAAATAGAATATCAACAGAAATACCAAATAACATCTGAGCACTTGCTGAACACTACTGTTTCAATTCTTAAAAAAAAATTTTTTTTAATGTTTATTTATTTTTGAGAGAGAGAGTACAAGCGGGGGAGGGGCAGAGAGAGAGGGAGACACAAAATCCGAAGCTGGCTCCAGGCTCTGAGCTGTCAGCACAGAGCCCGACATGGGGCTCGAACTCATGGACTGTGAGATCATGACCTGAGCCAAAGTCAGAAGCTTAACCGACTAAGCCACTGAGGTGCCCTTAATTCTTTTAGACATTTAACACTCATCAAAACCCAAAAAGGTAGGTATTATTAGTGTACACATTTTATAGATGGGGAAAGTGAGGCACACAGAGGTTAAGTATTTTTCCAAGGTCAAAGCTGATAAGTGGTATTTGAACCTAGGTTGCAGGTTCTACAGCTTGACTCTTAACCACCAGTTAAGTGCTCTGTAACTCAGTGGAGTGCTGTGTACTCTCTTCCTAAGTACAGAGATTTCAAATGGATGGGATAAAAACATGCACAAAAGTGCTCCTGTATACTTGCTGCATCCGGGCAGGTCTTGCACATCCCTTGACATCATACAACATCACGTTGGAGACCATTGTTTAATACCGATAGTAAAGCTGCCTATACATATATTTTTGAAACAAGTTTCTTTCATTCTCTCTCCTTCTTTCTTTCCTTCCTTACAAATTTCTGAACTAGAAGAGGAACCAAACTTGGTTGACCCCTCTGACCGTGGGTTGGGAGGGAGATGGTGGGACCAGACACAGTACTCACTGGGACAGAAGGGAGGCCAAACATCCATACAGCGATGAGGTGTATGTATTCCCGTTGTGCGTGGAGAGGTAAAGGGAGGCCTTGGTTTTCTTGTTGAACATGTCCAGAGAGGCCTTTTGAAGTGCCTTATCCAGGTCCTTGTTGGTGTAGGTGTCTTCCAGCTTTAGCCCCCTGGGAGGCGGCCAGAAAAACAGGCCAGGTGAGACAGCATAAGAGGGGAGGGAAGTAACAGCTTCTGGAAAGAAGACTTTGGGGCACGTGTTTTTATTATAAAACTCTAGGAAATACAGACAAGCACAAAGAAAAACGATGTCACTAAGAGTCCTACCATTCAGAGAGAGCACTTAGGTCATACTGTTCTTGCGGAATACATCCTGCTTTCATATAGTTAAATGCAAAATAAAATCATGCTATGCATTCCCTGGCTAATTTTCCCTATGACATTAAATCATCTTCCATAACATTATTTTTAAAGGCTGCAGAACAAGTCATGGTACAACATGCCCTACCTTAACTACTCTCCCCACGCCTGTCCCCCAGTGAAAACACTACAGCAAAGAGCTACCTGTTCCCTTAAACATGTGGATTTACTGAACCAAAACGTGTGCACCTCTTCAAGGCCTTTGCTTCGTGTTTTCCTATTTCTCCCCAATGTCCTTGTGTCAGTTGACACGTCCATGGTTGCCTGTCTTCCCAGAGCCTTGTCACTTCTGGGTGTTCAAATTTTAAAACAGCTACGTAAGGAAAATGGTAACTCACTTAGATTTGTTGCCACTGAGTGCACACGGTGAAAAATAGGATTATGTGCATTTCTTCTTTGAGAAAATTTCTGGTCCATATCTTTTTCTCCATTTTCTATCGGGGTGTTTATCTTATTGTTGATGAGGCTTTCATATATTAAAGACAGTAATCTATTACCTTTGGTGTATATTAGAATTTTGTTTTTCATGGGACAGAAACACTACTTCTAAGACATGGATCTAAGACATGGGTCTTAGAAGCAGTGTTTGTGCTAATTTTGATATTTTAGTTAGTGGTGAGGTTAGTAGGGGCAGTAGGTTAGCAGTAGGGGCAAGTGTTGGTAGAATACACCAAAACCTGAAAAAAAACAGCTACCAAGAATAAAAGGGAATATTTTCTTCCCAGTGGGAACTGTATATTGAAGAGTCTTCTTTTCTAAATGTCTTGGAGTGATGCCTCAATAAATAGTACTCTTCTAAGGGGGTGAACTAGACTATCTCCATTTCATAGGTGGAGGATATTGAGGCAACAAGTGAGACATTAAACCAAAGGCAAGTGAGAATGAGGCCTGACGCTCCTGAAGTTGCCATTCCATACTGTGATTATCTGCTTCTAGGTGTTTCTGTAAGATCCTCAAGGCAGGGACCAGGGAGTCACATTCATTCTGGTGTCCTTAGAGTTTAGTAATGATGCCTGACGCATAGCTGATGTTCATAAAATGTTTTCTTGACTTGGGACACCTGGGTGGCTCCGTCGGTTAAGTTTTGGACTTCGGGTAGGGTCATGATCTCACGGTTTGTGGGTTCGAGCCCCGAGTCAGGCTCCGTGCTGACAGCTCAGAGCCTGGAACTGCTTCAGATTCTGTGTCTCCCTCTCTCTCTGCCCCTCGCCTGCTCATGCTCTGTCTCCCTTTCTCTCAAAAATAAATAAACATTAGAAATTTTTTTAAAAAATGTTTCTTGACTGAATGATTTAGCCACACTCCCTTTCCCCTTTTTTTCTTATTCTCTGAAGCTTCTTATAGCCACTTGATCTCGAGGTGCTGGCAAACGCCCTGTGCTCCCTGAGATAAAAGGAGGAGGGCGCTATGCAGACCATTACCCAATAACTCGTGGACTCCGTGTCATTTGTATTGTGTTGGAGGATTGCCCCTTCTCCCCCCATGGCTGCCTAGACGTGCAGAAACCTCCTCTTTCCTCAGCCCTCACGAACCTCTAGGTTCCCCCAAAGAGGACTCACCTGAAGTCCTCCAGCCCCTTATACAGGCTGGTCTTCGTGTTGCTGCTGGCTGACAGGAAGTCATTGAACATCAGGCGAGCCAGAGATTTCTGGACCATCTTGCAGAAGGGCGTGTGAAAGATCATAAACTGTAAGTCATCGAGAGTGAAAGGCCGATCGATGCCAGCTGGAAGAGGAAATGTGAAAGCAAGGATGTGCTATGGCAGATGAGCCATTTAAACCTGTGTCCCGCGACCTAAGTGTGCTGAGGGACTCACAGCCTCCAGCAACCCACATGGGTTTGTTCATTCACTTAATGAGCATTCTGCTAAGCACTTACTTATAAAGAAAGAAGTGAGAGAAACAAATATTTTCTTCCTCTCTACTGTTGCCAACCTTTCTGACAGATAATTCCTCCAAATCAAACTACTGTTGCATTACTTTCTCTATTTTTCAGAGGAGGAAACAGAGTCTCTAAAATATGAAGCTAGGGCATGTGTCCAAGATTACCCATCTTGAAAATGGCTGACTTTGGATTTAGGTTCTGATGTCTCTGACTCTACACCCCAGACTGTCTCTCTCACTCCAAGGAGGAGGGCAATGTGCCCTCTGCCCTTAGGAGTGTTTATAATTTAGTGCTGAGAGTCAAAGCAGCATCAGTCAAATTTCGTAGGAGGTTAAGGAGCAAAATTAGAATGCCAAAAGGATTCCGAGCTGGTGAGAGTAATTAGCCAAGAGCGATTTTATAGTGGACGGGAGGTAGAGAGGTCCAGGTGGACTGCTTAACCCGTGGGGTCGGTGGCAGCTGGCATTCCTCTCAGCATGGTGGAAAGGGTCAAGAAGTGGCTCCTTAGGCCACCCCTAGAGCATCCGTGCTCTGGCACTTCTGTACATGCCTTTTCCTACACTGATGCTTATCTGGGCAGGAGTACGCAGTTAAGAACCCTTGTATTTTCTTTAAAGTAGATTGCTCTGTATTTTTAAGCTGAAGTTTGTTTCTTTTCTGATTACGAAAGCGGTACATGTTTTCTTAGCAGGAAAACTCAGAAACTAAAGGTGAAAATAAAATTAACTTGTAACATTACCATCCAAAGACAAATCACTAATACGTTAGTGTACCAAACATAGAGGTCAGATTTTTCAACACTAATATGTTAGTGTACCAAAAATAGAGGTCAGATTTTTCAACATCAACCAGACTTTAAGAGGTAGCAAACTACAAATCATGAGTCAAATCACTCCTGGCTTCAACAGAAACAAATCCTAGCCCCAGTAGGAGGTGGTTATTCTGACTCACCACAGTACCTCCCCAGGTGGCTGACACCCACTGGTTTCCTACTGGTGGCTTTGGTTCTGAATTGCTTCCTTTCTTTCATTTAACTTCATGCTTGAATTTGGATGGCTTCCAGACGGACTTAAGCATAGACCCATGGAAGGGTGTCAAAGGAAGGGTACTTTCACTCTCGATGACTTACAGGGTGTCAAAGGGTGTCAAAGGAATTACATGAAACAATTCTGAGATCATTTTTGGAGGAGAGAAGAAACCTTGTCTTAAGCTTTTAGGACAAACCCTTGGCCCCATGGAAATAGAGTCCCCATTTTCTACCCTCTGAGCCCCATACCTTGCTTCCACTGGTTCTGGATTTTTTGACGGTATAATGTGTAACATCTGTCCAAGGCCCGTAGGTAGCACTGGATGGAGAGCTTCCCATCCACCATTGGGTACTCTGTAGCCCCATCTGGTTTGTAGAAGTCGTATACGTTCTCCATGTGGGTTCCCCTAAGCCCTGGCAAGGCACACAGAGGGATTCAGGACTGTACAATGCAGTCCCCACAGAGCAGAGAGGATAGGGGAACCATGTGCCAATAATTTCTTGGTCTTCCTCTGTCTCATGCTCAAGCCTGAACCCACTCAGCCTCCCTCACACATTCAAAGGAAGTTGAACAGATTGTTGCTCTTATGGCATGAGATGTATATTTCCCTTTCCATACCTATACAGGCTTAAAATCTGGAATAGATGCCAAAAGTCTCAAGGGAGAACCTTTCTCCTCATCCCCAATTACCTTCTTTCATATTCAGTTGCCAGTCTAGCTCCTTAAGGGTCCTCATCTACAGCATCAATGCCACTCGTCCCATGCATCATTATCCCCATGTGTGACTGTGCAGAAGAGGAAAGCTCACGATCCCTCTCTTCCTTTCCTCCCTGCCCTTTGCTCCCCAGTACATACAGCCTTTTGAAGGCAAGCAATGTCATCCTCAAATCCATACTTTAGCTCTGCATAGTGAGTATGCCAGTTTGGGATTGGGAGCTATGTATTTGACTATGCCATGCACAGTCTCTTTGTACCGCATATCCACAGTTTATCACAGACCTCTCTCGAGGGCCAGAGGGGCCTTGGGTCCAACCAGCATGGCCACGGCTCCAGCCCCACCTGTGGGACGAGCGTTACCACTGGGATAGACTGCAATGTCTCCACAGACCACCATTGCATAGCGACCTGTAATGAGAGACAAAACGTAATTATCATCACTACCAAGTCTTGAGTAGATGGGGTGCTTTCTATGACCCAGGCACAATTTTAGGTAATGAAGATAGACCAGTGAACAAAAACAAATATCCCTGCTCTCACAATGAGCCTATATATCAGGTACAGTTATTCCCTCTTTATAGACAAAGAAATTGAGGCCCAAGGAACTTAAGTCACTTGGCCAAGGCACACAGCTAATAGATAGTATGATAAGGATTTAGGGTCAGGATTCCAACACAAATTCATTGAAACCCAAGAACCTTCTTTTAAGAATTCGAACAACTCCCAACTCCATCCCCAACAACAAAAATATTGTTTTATATATAGTTTATATATAGTTTGGAAACTATAAAAAAAAGTATTTAGAAGCTGTTAAAGAAAAGATTAATAAATTAGGCTATCTAAAAATTCAAACTTTTTATCAGAAACAAGCTCAGACAGGGGTGCTTGGGTGGCTTAGTCGGTTGGGTGTCCGACTTCGGCTTAGGTCATGATCTCATGGTCCGTGAGTTTGAGCCCTGCGTCAGGCTCTGTGCTGACAGCTGAGCCTGGAGACTGTTTCAGATTCTGTGTCTCTGTCTCTGCCCCCCGCCCCACGCTCTGTCTCTGTCTCTCTCAAAAATAAATAAACATTAAAAAAATTTAAAAAAAGAAACAAGCTCAAACTGGGGACATATTTACAATATTTAAAATCAACAAAAAGCTATTTTCTTTCATTTATAAAAGTCTCATTAAAAAAAACAAGGTATGTAATAGGAGACTGGCCAATGAACATCCCCAAAAATATTGAAGTTCTCTTATAATGAAAAAAAAAAAGACAAATTCTTATTTTTCCCTATTAAGTTGACAAAGATTAAGTTTGATAATATGTATTGTAAGAATGTACTTTTTTTTTTTTTTCAACGTTTTTTATTTATTTTTGGGACAGAGAGAGACAGAGCATTTAGGGAGGGCAGAGAGGAGACAGAATGGAACAGGCTCCAGGCTCTGTTCATCAGCCCAGAGCCCGACGCTGCCCGGAACTCACGATCATGACGTGACCTGGCTGAAGTCGGACGCTTAACCGACTGCGCCACCCAGGCGCCCCAGAATGTACTTTTTAGTACATCTTGAAGAACAATTTGGCACATTCTATCAAACTTTTATTTATTTATTTTAGAAGTTTATTTATTTATTCTGAGATAGTGTGTATGTGTGCGGGAGAGGGACAGAGAGGGAGAGAGAGAATCCCAAGCAGCCTCTGCTCTGTCAGCGCAGAGCCTGATACAGGGTTCAGTCTCACTAACCGTGAGATCATGACCTGAGCTGAAATCAAGAGTCAGAGGTTCAACCGACTGAGCCACCCAGGTGCCCCTCTATTAAACTTTCAAATCAACATATGAAGCAACTCCATTTCTAAGAACTTATTCTTACCACATTATCACAAGCTATTATACAATGTTCATTAAAACATTTTTTTAGAGGGGGCGCCTGGGTGGCGCAGTCGGTTAAGCGTCCGACTTCAGCCAGGTCACGATCTCGAGGTCCGTGCTCGTGAGTTGAGGCCCAGCGTCAGGCTCTGGGCTGATGGCTCGGAGCCTGGAGCCTGTTTCTCATTCTGTGTCTCTCTGCCCCTCCCCCGTTCATGCTCTGTCTCTCTCTGTCCCAAAAATAAATAAAAAAAAAAAAACATTTTTTTAGGGGCACCTGGGTGGCTCAATCAATTGGTTAAGCAGCTGACTTTGATTTCAGCTCAGGTCATGATCCCAGGGTTGTGGGATTGAGCCCTCCATTGGGTTACACACTGAGCATAGAGCCTGCTTAAGATTCTCTCTCTCTCCCTCTGCCCCTCTCTCCCACTTGCAGGTTCTCTCTCTCTCTCTCTCTCTCTCTCTCTCTAATTAAAAAATAAAACATTTTTGTATAATTGTAAAAAATACACCGTCTAAAGATCTATCAATATGGGACCAATTAAATAAAGTTTGGCATATTCATCAATAGAATATTGTAAGGCTTTTCAAAGATGAAGTAGACCTTATATATAGTGATATAAAATGACCTCTAAGACATCATGGAGTTGAGGAATAATATGTACAATGTTAAAAACTAAAACTGAATACTTATATGTATGCTTGGAAGTACACAGAAAAATTCTGGAAGAATATATAGAAACCGTTAGCGTGAAATTCTGGAAAGTGATAATGGGGTGTCGAAAGGGAACTTTTTCTTCACTGTCCACTCTTTTGTGTATGTGTATATTTTTTAATTATAAATTTCAATTACTTTCACTAAAGAAAAAAAAAAAGAGCAAAAATTGAAGTCTGCTGGACAATCTGAGGCTATACGACTTTTTCCTTCCCTCGTACCCTACTGTCTCTCTGGAGTGATTCTGAAATTCCTGGTAAGTCCCAGAACCATCTTTGTCCATCTGAGGGACCCCAGGTGGAACGTTGGCCAGGTCAAAGCAGAAATCCCACCTACACTGATTTTGTCTAGTCTTGGTGGTTGCCATTAGGCTAAAGTTTAAATACGCTTTTGTTTTGATACAAAATGATTCACATCTCAAGTTTTTTTTCCTCCCTCTGACCAAGACATCATGTTAAAGGATACCCTCCTGTGGAGTATGCTGCCACTCAGCAGAATCTACTCATTTGAAATGACATGCTTGAAGCTTATGATATTCCCGAACAAGGTTCTGAGTTTTGGTTAAAGGTTGGTGAGTGTCCCTTGCCCTTCATTTCTATTTTCCAACTAAATGCTTGACTGGACATATTGGTGATGACAGGAGTAGGGGTTGCTGGACAGGCAATAATATAGTGCCAAGTAGGAGAAGCATTGTAAGAACAGATTTGATGATGTAGGAGCTGGGACATCCCAAGTCAATGGAACCTTTGATGGTGAATAAGAACTCTGAGGCTCAAAGTGGTTAAGGGACTTGTCAACAATGATCAACAGAGCTGGGTTTCAAACTCTCAACTTGTTCTGTTTCTCTTGGACATTTTCTTGTTATCACAACAGGTGTTCATCCTCTAATATATCATTGAGGGAAAATATAAGTAAGAGACAGGATAATGTTCGTATGTTAAGCAAAAAACAATTTCCTAGTAACCAGGAAAGGGAGAAAGAGAAGAAATACTCTGTGTACTAGTGTATCCTGTGATTCTCTGGGTCTATTTCTACCAGGGTGTCTTCCCCTTAACATCTAAACTTGTACAAATTTCTGTCTCTCAGAGGCTAAAGAGAAGCTTACAAGAAAGAGGAATATATTGGGTTTGGTTTGGCATCTCACCCCTGCCACACACTATGTGTAAGATATTGGACCCTCCATTTTTTCACCGATAAACTAGGCATCAAAATCACTTCCTAGGCTGTTGGAAGTGAATGGCTATGTGAACATGCTGCCTAATTAACAGTATAAAGCTATACAAGTCTAAACAGTTATCATCATTGTAGTTGTTGATGACAGCAGCAGCTGTATAAATGAGTTGTCCTTCATTCCCTGATGAAACCACTGGGGAAATGGAGAAACAAAACTGAGGATCCAGCCTTGAACCCATCTCCTGTCTTACACGAGGTTTCAGGCAGCACCTACCATCCCAGGAGCTGGACTCTACCCAGTTGGCAGCATTGAAGAGGGAGGCAGTGCCACCGTAGCAGGCATTGGTGGTATCTATGCCCTCAATGTCAGTGTTGCCCGAATCCTGGAAGAGCTCCATGAGCACTGTTTTGACAGCCTTGGACTTGTCGATGATGGTCTCAGTGCCCACTTCCAGCCTGCCCACAGAGTCCCACGGGAGCTGCGTGCGTTCCATCAGCTGCTGTACCACCGTCAGGCACAGGGAGTTGATGTCCTCCTGGACTGAGCAGAAGCCCATATGGGTTTGGCCCAAGCCCACTGTGTACCTCCCTGCTTCCACATTGTTATATTTCTCCAGGTCTGTTTGGTCCACATATTGGGCTGGGAAATAGACCTCCAAGGCAAGGATCCCCACATTCTCTGGCCAAGTATCTGTTTTGGCCAAGGGGACAGCAGGAACTGTAGAAAACCTGTAGTGGAGATAACAATCAAAATCTTACAAGTGGTCTCCAGCCAGTCTTCTCAAAATATAACACAGCAATTATTTCATCCATTTTTCCTGCATTTTGAAGCTATGTTGTCAAATGAATGCAAATTTGAGATGGTTATCTTTCTGTAACCATTTGACTCTCTTATCCTTATTAGACGTCCCTCTTTATCTTTGTGATATTTCTTCCATAAGGTCTACTTTTCCTGATGTTAAGAAAGCTGCCTTCTTTTTTTTTTTTTTTTAATTACTGTTTGCATGGTATATCTTTTGCTGTCCTTTTATACTTTCAACTTCTTAGGGTCTTTGTATTCAAAACATATCTCTTCTAAACAGCACATAGTTAGGTCTTTTTTGTTTGTTTTTTAACAAGTCTTACAATATTGATGCTTTAGTTGGAGTAACTAGTCCAATTATATTTATTGTGATGACTAATATAGATGGGATTAAATTTATTATCTCACTATTTATTTCCATTTCTCTCATATGGACTTTGTTTCTTTATTTCTTCTTTCCTGTATTCTTTTGGATTAAGCAAGTATTTATTATTATTCCATTTTATCCCCTCTTTTCCGTTTAGCAATGACCTCAGAGAGATTACAATATACATGCTTGGTTTATTGTACTCTAACTTAAATTAATACTTCTACTTTCTGAACAGTGAAAAACCATACTTTAGTTTAACTTCATTTATCCTCTCCCTCCCTTTGAGCTATTATTGTGATATGGTTTACTTCTATACATGTTATAAACCCCATAGGATATAATTTTAAAAATCTCATTCATTTTTAAGGTGCCCCTCTCATTAACCTCCTTCCTCCTTCTTCTTTCTTTTTACTTCACAAGAACACACTTATTGTTTTTCTACTTTTTAAGGCACTTTGATGCTTGATTCCATCCTCTCTGCTTTTCCTGATTGGGCCTCCCAGTATTTACTGAGCACATCCCACACAATGTTCTTGATGCCCAGTAGTGAAGACGACATCCTTTGTGCCCACCAAGAGAGCACAGTCTAATGGAAGAGGCAGGCATTTTACAGCTAAATACATAGTGTAAGAAGCAAATGCTGTGAGAATATGGAAGACAGAGAGAATAATTCTAAATGGAACAGAGAGGAAATGGGGAAGGAGACAGTGGAAGAGGGAAGAGATAATCTGTTTCTTTCCTGGACCTACCCACCTTGCTTTAATCCTGACTGCTAATATCCTTGGTGAAATTCTGGAGTTTCTCCTTCCAGCTACAAGTACAGAGCTCACCAGGTCCACCTCCATCTGTTCACACACGAAAGTACCTGAAATCTGGTAAATTTAGTGATATTCTTCCTTTTACAGATGGTCAAATCATGGCATACATTGGTGAAGTGATGTGCTCAGAGTACCTTCATAGTTACTCATGTGTTAGAAATACCCTGTCTTTTCACCACCTTGGGTGTCACCAAGGCACTCACGAGGGCCACTAGGGTCCTTTGACTCATCTGGCTACAGAATTCCTGACCATGGTGAGGGGCAGAATGGCTCCACAGGCTTATACATTTAGCTGTATGCCGCCAGAACTGTAGCTCAGGTTGAGTGCATTTGTCAATCATCTTGAGGATTCTGGGCTTCTGGTAAACCCCAGTTCTCCCATCAGAAAGGTCACTTTGAAGTGCTGTGAGGCAAAGTGGGTCACAGGATCACAAAACAGTGAGGCAAAGTATAAATGTTCATCCATTTCTGACAAGAGAGGTTTGGAATTTAGTTATCTACCCTATTTATTTGGTGTTCCTCCCAAATAATTGGAGTTTGTACTATCAAATATTTGTGGAGTATCTTCCCTAGTATGTTGGAGCTAATGGTTAGCCAGCACTGGTCTTGTGCTTGGCTAGCTTTCCCCTCAGACTTGTTTTCATTCTACCTTCTCTAAGCTCCCTTCCTCCCTCTCTTTCCAATTAGAAATCTCAGCTTTCAAGGAAAGGTTCCAAGAATCAGCCACTTGGTAGCTTTTGTAATGATCTTAGTAGGGAGCTATTTCTGGAAATGGATTCCAGAGCCTTGAAGAAAAATTAACATGTAGAGGCTTCCAGAAACATCAGACCACTGGAGTTAAGAGGGCCCTTTTAATCTTGCATTTTCTCCAGAGAGTAATCACTTTATTTCATTTAAAACTGGTTTTGTTCTGAGGAGGTTGCTTGGTTCAAGAATATGCATTAAGCTTTTATTTCTTTATTCCATCTCTCCTCCTTCTCTTGTGTTTCAAAATTCACTATTATATGTCAGGCACTGTGCTAGGGAGAGGCTGTAGAGGTAGAAAGGAAAGGCAAAAAATAAGAGGAGGTCAAGATTCTTTTTTTTTAATTTTTTTTAAATGCTTTTATTTATCTTTGAGACAGAGAGAGACAGAGCATGAACAGGGGAGGGGCAGAGAGAGAGGGAGACACAGAATCCGAAGCAGGCTCCAGGCTCTGAGCTGTCAGCACAGAGCCCAACGCAGGGCTCGAACTCACAGACCGTGAGATCATGACCCGAGCTGAAGTCGGACAATTAACCGACTGAGCCACCCAGGCGCCCCATGGAGGAGGTCAAGATTCTTGAGGACTTCCTTGACCAGTGGGAGGAATAGACAAAAACATACATATATACATGTACACCCCGACGGAGAGTTAGAATGTGATAAGGGCCTCAAAAGAGATATAGGCAGAATCCCACAGGAGTTTGGAGGAAGCAGAGATTTCTTATGGGTAGAAGGCTCAGGAAACATTTTGTGGAAGAGGCTACACTGGAGATAAACCTTGATGGATGAGTGGAGCTTCTGCTGATGAAGAACTGGAGGTGGGGGGCGGTGGGACGGCAGTCACAGTGGAAGGTGACTGAACACAGTCCCCTCCTGTGGAGTGGAGAGTGGAGGGGATTAGGAACACAGCACAGGAGAAAAGCAGGTGGGGACCATCAAGTGGAAGGCACGATTCTTCCTTAACAGGCAGTGAAGCATAAGCTAAGATGGGAGCAGTTCTTGGGTTAGATTTTGAGCTGGTGTTGTGGAAGGGACAGAAATACAGAGAGACCCATAAAGAAGATTGGGTTTTTTTGTTTGGTTGGTTGCTTTTTTTAAAGTAGGCTTCATGCCCAGTGCAGAGCCCAATGCAGGGCTTGAAGTCAAGACTCTGAGACCCAGACCTGGGCTGACTGGGATCAAGAGTTGGATGCTTAATGCTCATCCAGGCCACAGAAAATGGGATGAGCTATGAGTACATCATAAAAAGGAAATGTGAACAAAGATCCCAAGTGTGAACCAAGGATGCCAGAAAGAGAGGCAGGTTGGTTGAGCTCTGAGGTTTGTCTCTTTCTGGGAAGCCCACTGTTGCTTATTAAAACAAGCACACCCAGGTCAATCCCTTCCTCACAAATACAAAAACAGGTTAAATGCTGAGCTGGGACATTAGACTTGTCTAAAAAGGGTGGGGGAGAATGTGGACAATGGCAGAGAATCAGTAAGAGAATAAGAAGCTTAAGGAGCATCAGCCCTTCTCTACACATTCGTACAGCCAGGTTCCCTGGGTCCCAGGCAAGGGAAGACACTAGATCATAGTCATTTTTCTAAGTATTCATGGAATGCAGTGTGGGAGGAATGGGCTAGTCCCACGGCGCAGTGGGTCCCGAGGTGCTAGCTGTAGTTATTTTACTACCAACGCTGGTAAGCTCCAAGCACATGGGCCAAAGCGGAGGGGAGGAGTGTTTACAAATAAAAGGTATGCGTGTGTGCTTCTGTGCGCAACCCGCTGCGCATGCGCGCACGCACACACACTTATCTTTACATCCCATTTCCCCTTCTCATGAAATCCGAGAGCAGTGAAACATGCTTCTGATCCCCAGTCCATTGGGAACCTTGCTGCAGTGATTGAGGCAGCGGGTGTGACTAACGCTGCAGTTGGCACAGAATGCTGTGGGTCTTGGCAGGAGCTCAGGGTAACGGTGGAAACAGCGGTGGAGAAGAGAATGATGGGGGGTCCCTGGTACTGATATTTCCACTGCTTTGTGCAGCTGGGGGAGTGAAAGATGTCATCATCTGTGAACAACAGGTATCAGAGGTTCGGGATCCCGGAGCTCTGCAGCTGAGGGACCACCTGTTTAGAGAGAAGGTAGCTGAGACCCTAAGGAGTTAACTTGCCTATCTAAGGCTGTGCACAAGCCTTGCCTGCTTTTCACTGGGATTCTACCGAGCTTTTCCTCAAGGCAGCCCTCTGCCCATCTTTTACTGGTACCACGACCCTTCTCAAAGAGTGGCCTGCACAGTCCCTGGGAACAATGTGACTCACCTTTGGTGGGCTCCTGGGAGAAGGCTAGCAGGTGAGAGCGAGGCTTCCTGCATTGCTTTCTTCACTTGCAAGACCCGCTTCACTGAAGTCAACAGCCGTTGCATTTCCAGAGAAATAAGCAGAAAGCCAGCAATTCACAGTCCTTGGGAGAGTTACCGAGAGGTGCCCCATTAGGCTTTATAGAACTCTGAGATTCCTGCCTCTGGAAGCCCCACCCACCCCTGCTTATCAAGGCTCATTTGGCTTCTAAAACTGGGCCAAAGTTCTCACTCAGAACATGGGAGAGTCGAAGACAAACATCATCTCTCCAACTTGTATGTAGCTGCCCTGAGCCTGGGCATGTGTGGGGGTGGATGGCTCTGATCCCTCCTTTCTCAGCCTTATTTATAGCCAGCCACGTCATGGGGCTGTGATGGTCCTTGCCGCACATCCTGAGGTAACACCACCTGGCCTGTCTTGGACCCTGGCTTCTCATCTGAGCTATTCTTGCTTATTGTTCCAGAATGCTCTCTGTGGAGTTAGCAGTTATTATTTTAATATGTTATGCATAATGAGGGACATCTTTCAAAACCAAAAGGATGAATGTTCTAATAGTAGTTGGGAGTGGATGTTGGCATACAGGCAAAGGGCTGGGAGTAGAGAGGATGTGGACTCAGCTCTACCTCTCCTCTCTTTACCATCACTCTTGCACGTGTATAGCTCTACACAATTTTCAAGTCAGCTTCAAGAGATGTTGCCATAGAAGTATGGGACCCCCAAAGGGGCTCCCCAGGAAAGGCCCACTTTACAGATGAGGCCAGTGATATTTAGTCAGATGACACGACTTTCCCCAAGACCTAAGTGACAGATTAGGGACTCAACTGTGCCTTTTGACTCCCGATTCTGGTCTTTCCACTCTACTCTTCTACTTCTCCATAAAAAGGCTCCTGCCATCTGACCTTGCAGTGAATTGTTCCCTCCACCCCTCTCTCATGGCACCAGTCTTTCCCTGTATTTTACAAAGGTCACGCATTCATTCACTGGTTCACTCAGTAAACTTCCCTAACTCGACTCTGTGGAAGGCATGGAGAAGAGCCAGAGTGGTTCTTGTTTTAGAGGAATCAGAGGTGACTTCATTTCCCTACAGACAGAGACCTTCCAGAAGTCTAAGTCTCCTGGGTCTTCCATCATGTTTAGATTCTTGCCTCCATACACCTTGGTGCATTACTGCCCTAACCCGATCTCCCCACTCACTCTGTCACCCGTGCCCCAACACTCAGCCTTTGGCAAAGTTCTGTCATCAATCAAAATTCTTTATTTCCAATTTCTCTTCTAAAAATGACCTTTGTTTCTTGCTCTGTCTCAACCTACAGTTTTCAAATGGTGGTTGGGCTCTTTGCCAGCCCGGTCATATCCACCCCCCTGCCTCCGTTACTTTAGGTACCACAGTGCTCAGAATAAGGCACATGTCCTCTTTGCTCTGCATTGATACTTCCGGAGAATTTTTCCTCTCCCTCCTCTCAAAAGCCCCACTTTCTTCAAGCCCACACCCTTCCTTCTTGAAGTCAACTGACAATCTTGCTCCACTCCCCTCGTTCATGAGGATTGAACCACATGGATCACTGCCTGCCTGTCCACATCAATTCTCTCAACATTCATGAAGATGTCAGCCTAGGTAATCCACTCCAACTTTTCACTAAGTTCCCACTTCTATGACATTGTCCTCCACATGCCTTTAGCCCTCCCACTGTGCACTCATACTCCTGACCATATCAGTACAGTATCCATATTACATCCTAAATTTTAATTTCATGGAGCTTAATTTCTAATAACCATACTAGAAACCGTATCTTCCCAGCTCACTTTTAAAGAACCCCCACATTCTTCTCCCACTGGGACCACCATTGGCTACTCCATCTTTTTGCCATTTATCATACCTCTAAATCACCTCTTTTCTCTCTTTCTGCAGCTCAGATTACCTGTGGTGCATCACCATAAAGAGTCTCTTGCACACACCCCTTGCCATGTACTCTCTCTGTCAGACTGGCCAAGCAAACCATTGACTTTGGTGAAACCCATGCTTGGTCTAATCTATGCCTGTATCTGAGCAGCTAACTATGGCTGAAGAAAAACTCAATATTGTACTGACTCATTAGCTTTACATTTACAATCACACATCTCAGAAGGGCTCCCGGCATGCCTCGTAATTCCACTACATTTTCCTAATCCATTGGCTCCCCTACTCCCAACAGAGCCAGTCACACTTCCTCTTCTGTATGCAACCCTTATCCTCTGCTCATTCTCAGCTGATTACTTTGACCCCTATTTCACTAAGAAAATAGAAACAATCAGAAGAGAACTACCTGACTTCCATCAGCAAAGTCAGCAATCTCCTGCCTTTATACTCAATACTCTGCCTTCCCACTGTTCCTATCTGGAGGGACAGTCCCTGCTCTGGCTTAAGGCTGAAGTATCCACTCATGCACTGATTGTATCACTTTTGGTCTATGTGAGGACTGTGGTCCTGCAGTTGTCCCCTCTCTTCCTCCCGATCAATTTCCCTTTCTTATACGTGTATAATCCCATCTTTGAAAACTCCATCTTGACCCTAAATGTCTTACTGAGTGTGCCACCAAATCTATGCTCTATTCTATAACAAAAGCCATTGTCTATTTTCAATGCTTCACATCCTTACTCTCATTCTACCTTTAATCAATCCATTTAAGCTTTTGTTCCCAGAATTCCACTGAAGTTCCTTTTGTCAAGGTCATCAATGACTTCGTTATTGCCAAATCCAATGGTTGGTCCTGAACCTTCAGCTTATAGACTTCTCAGGAGCACACAGCAAGGCTTCTCACTCCCTCTTCCTCGAAATACTCTTTTCATTTGCCTTATAGGACCTGACGTCCCATGTTTTTCCTCCAAATTGCCACCCACTCCTCCTCCTCCTTGCTGCTCTTCCTCTAAATGTTGGAGTGATCCAGGTCACTTCTCTAAGAAAATATTTGGAGCTAAATAGGAACATTAGGCTCTAAGACCAAAATATACAAATATTCACATAGGATTATGGACACATAACTGACAGTTGTAATAACATGGAGGACCAAAATCAGTCAATCTGGTATAAACTTTATTTGGTACACACAACAAAAAAAGCACTATTCTAAGCGTTGGACATACAGGTGGGTGGAATTATTTTCTGTTGGTTAAGGCAGCATGTGCTAAGAAATCACTGTGTGCCAGGTACTATGATAGGTACTTTTGTGTATTGTCTTACTTAATTTTCACAACTGAGATTGACAATATTATTACATCTCATACACAGATGGGGAAACCGAGGTTTAGAAAAAATATATAACCACCTGTGGTTTTAGGCCTAGGAAGTGGCTGAAATGGGCTTTGAATCTATGCTGTCTGTCTAGACCTACACATCATCTGAGCCAGCCTTCCACCATTTTTGACCTGAAAGAGTGGCAATTAATGTGGTTCAACCAAATATTTAAGTTTTCCCTTTGGAATAAGGAAAACCTGTAAGTTGGGGAAGTACCAGGAGTATAGTAAAGGGCAAACAGGGGGAATTAGTAGCACCACCAAGGTGATAGCTTTCCGTCCTGAAGGGGATTTAGTTCACTTCGTCAAGTAATTGTCTGCAAGCACGATCAAATGATTGTTTTTTTTCTATTCATTGCCCCAAGTTTTGAAGGAAATAGATGACAACATCTGGCTGTTGTGTTTAAGGAAGATGCATCTCAAATGCTTAAATGAACTCACGGTCTGTACTTCCTAAGTGAAAACAATTTTATTTTTGCTGTGAGATTTTCAGCTCCTGGGCTGCAGCTTTTCAGCTGAGTGGTGATTGGTCAAAAGTGTGCGTCATGATAGATAAATATTAAGACTCAGATAAATTGATCATTATGGATTAAAATGTTTAGACATCCAGGGGGAAAGTCTTGCAAAAACAATGTTTGTTCTTTTAGTAATCCTGCCAAGAGTGATGGCTTAGGACAGCAAAATTATAAACAAGATTCCCAGGTAGATTTACCCACATCTAGTAGCCACATCTGCCTCTCTTACTGCAGAAACTCACAGTCCTCATTTCAACAAATGTGTGGAAAGTGCATGTATCCCAGGTCCTGGTGACTCATAAATTGAAGTAGACCCCCTCCCATGTAGACTTGCACTTTATATCTCAACCTAAAGGAAAGATGCTTTCAGGATTTTAGGCAAGTTATTTCTAGTCTAGACCTAGAGAAATGCTTTTGTGTTTTGGGAAATTAACCATGTTTATTTCACACTAATACTGATGCAATACACCCGTATCTGTTAAACAGGCAGTTCTGAAGTGTTTTCATGTGTGATCTGTACTCACAAAGGTTCTACAAAATTGATTTGGACATTGATACTTGGAGAGATGAAGTGACCTGGCTTGTGGGCATATCCTCAGTTTGATGGAAGGGCTAAGAATAGAATTCAGTGCTATACCTCCAATTCTAGGGCTCCCTCCCTGCAGCTACATGTGAGTTCTGTTGTCAAAGGGAGGAGCCGACAACAACAAGCTCTGTTGTCAAGGAAGGAGCTTGTGACTTTGTTACTGGTTAGCCAGTCTCTTATTTGCCAGGTGATTGGCCTTTTGCGATTGCTGGCAGTGAAGTTCAGACTTTGATTCCAAAGCTTCCAGAGCTTTGTGATGGAGGAGCCCTGGGGCTCAAAGTTAGTGGGGCATAGATTCCTATCTAATTAGGTGAGAGGTCTTGCGAAAAGCAGGGGAAAGGGCATGGGGACTGATGAGGTTTCTCAGAAAAACACTGAGCGCTGGGGTTTTGTTGTTTGAGTTTTATCATTCCAGGAGTTACCTCGTTTTGTTGTATCATCAAGGGAGCAAACCTAGCAATATGGTGTATCATTTCAAGTGAGGAAGATTCAGTGTTTGCGTGAGGGACACACAGTGCAGTGACGGTGCAGATGCCCATGATTCTCGATGAACAAATCCTAACATCATCTGTCATCACTCCTTTGGTGTTTGTGTCAAACCTCTATCTTCACAGACATTTAAGCAGCTTAAAATAAATGTTCTCACAGTCATTTTATGTTAATAACAATATGTAACAAAATAACCAATTAGTAT